GCGTGTCCGTGAAAAAGTACTTATTGAAACAAATTTGAGTTTGCTTTCCTCTACTGCTTTGAGGGGCGGTTCACGAAACATAAATGCTCCGAATCATTAAGCCATAAATTTGAACAGGCCGCGCCGATCGTTTCTGGCATCGTTTCAACACTTCCAAACAGGTTTTCGGGCAGAAGCTGCATTGTATGTTCCGTGATAAACCTTCTTCTTGAGAGAAGATCACTGCTGTCAGCGTCGTTCTAAAATCCTTGTTTTATAGCGGGTGATTAAGCATTGCATGCTTTGTGAATTCAGTCCTGTTTCATCTCTTCTTCATCCTCTTAATTCCTGTCAGTGCCATTCGACGGGTTCGCCTCGTAACTGGCAAACACAGGGATTAGCCAACGAACTGGCAAGGATGAGTGCGACGAAGAAAAATGAATCCAGACATGAGTAGAGATGAGAAATTGGAATGTAATAGGATTGGAGGGGATATTCAACAGCTCTTAGCTTGGGATGTTCAACAACTCCTCCAAACAAATCTCTTTTTGTTATTGATAATCGTTTTCTATTAAATTCAGTTCGTTGGAATGCACTGCGAGTTCACCTATCGGTTAAGATTATAAAGAAGTTTGGATTCTTTCTAGGGCTTAAGGCATAATCGAAAATCTATCGGAAATTTTTTCATGGAACTAGAAAGCTGAGATTGGATTCATCGACATGTAATAACAAAAAGTAAGCAACGAGTACACTTCACACATGAAATACTGAGTTCATTCTAAAAGAGCAACCTAGCTCTGCCTCGTCAACAACTGCATTTAACAGAAGGAAACGCACACAAATGAACAAACTGTCATGAATGCACCAGTAAGTCGTTTTCTTTAGTGAAATTTTGAAAAATCAGTACACAAAAGAGACTTAAATGCTTTACTTGGCGGAAACGCAGTTGGCTTTGTTAAACAATTCAGATCTATTCGTTTAATCATAATGGTAATCAATAATAATAGTAAAATAATAGTGATATCGATAGTAATAAACAATAACAGTGGTAATGGTAATCAAACAGTAATAATATAATGACACTATCGCAAGCTCTTTGCAATTTTGAGCAAGGCACTTCGGTGTTTAGCGTCTGTGACACCAATGTCCAGGAGATCATCGCTGGTGAGCGTCAGGAACATCCCAGCATCCACTTCCTCCTCTTTCAACAAATTCACGTATTTACCGAGGCCCGCTTCGCGCAATCGCTCCCAAATCAGGTCTGCAAACTCACAAAAAAATGTAAAAAAGTACACTAGTACTTACTGAAATTTCGAAAAAAATGCTAAAATTATATTTTCCGCGCAAATACACTCACACTCACAACATGATTTTGCTGTAATGCACTTTTATTAGCTGACTCACAAGCCCCTAATGTATTCGAATAAAGCGGATTATCTTCCGTCTATGTGCCAGTATTTAGATGTATTAAAATAAATACCGCCAAATTAATTAATAGTACTATCTTCTCTCTCTTCCTCTATTATCTCGTCCCCTGGTTCTCTGTTCTTATGTCCTCTTCGCAAATTAGTCACACGACTGCTCAGTATATGGCGAGTAGAAGGCTGTACTGATGATTCCACCTACGATCCCCGCGCAAAGTTCCGTCTGTGTTTACAGCTAAGTGACGAAACACAAATTGCATCCTAACATGTCCTCTTGCACGTGACACATAGTCCGATCTCTTACTTCTTATTCTATTATTCCAGCTATTAGCTTCCGACCGTTGCTCCATTTGACCTTTTTCTGAATTCTTTTTGTCTGAAAAGGTAACAATAGCCAGCAGTAAAAATTAAACGAAAAAGAGCAGAATTTTATATGGTCGAAAACTGAATATGGCTTAATCACAAGTCGGTTATTCAAGAATTATCATTGGCGACGCTCATCGGGCGGGCCCGTGTGGTCATGCGTTTTTGCAGTGTTTCGTGCTGTAATGAGATCGTTCGCAAACTCGCTAGCTAGATTGTGTGAAATACTGGCGCTCGAAACTCGGGAAGTTGATTATTACGCGGTACTTGGACAGGGAACATTCCATTAAAATTTCAGCTTTCCAGCTTCTCTAGTTCCCGAGTTAGCCATTCTCCCACCAAAAACTTTCACAGGGCCATATGTGGGAACAATACACAGAGGGAGGGACTATTTAGTAACTTTAAATCGTAAATGTGTTGGGAACATTCCCTGAAAATTTCAGCCTCCCAGCTTTCCTGGACCCCGAATTAGCCATTTTCCCGCAAAAAATTTTTAAGGGACCGTAGTGATAGCCATGCATGCTTGGAGGCTGGATTTGATAAATTTCAGTTGTATGCGAGCTGGGAATATCCCCTCAAAATTTCAGCGTTCTAGCTTTCCTGGACTCCAAGTTAGCGATTTTCCTGTCAGAAACCTTCACGGGACCGTACGTGAGGACCACGCATAGAGGCTGAATTTGAAATCTTTGTGTTCTATGTGGACGGGGGACACGACTGCAAAGTTTCAGCTCTCTTGCTTTTCTAGTTTCCAAGTTAGCGATTTCCTGCCACAACTTTGAGACGCTCGTACGCGGTGCCTAGACGTGCATGAGGATTGGTAATGCGGCCCTAGGGTGGTACTTGTTCGGGGAATCCACTGGCAAAATTTTGGCGTCGGAGCTTGCATGGGTGCCGAGTTGAAATATCCGGACAGACAGACAGACAGGAAGACACACACACATACACACACACCGGGGTCGTCACAATATGCGTTTTCGCATTTGGATGTAAGCGAAAACGCATAAAAAACAAGTTCGAATGAAAATAATTAACCGTTAGTAACTTTTCGTCTGCGCTGCTGATATGCATTATCATAAGTAGATGCCCTAGCTGCCGATAGATTGCTTAGTTTGCGGCCACCGCCACTTGCACGGTTGGCACCATTGAACGACGATCGTAAATTGATCCCTTCAAGCATAGGTGTTGACGTGCTTCTAAAAATGTCTGTTACTGAAATGCAAATTATGGCATTTTGTAAGCGCATGAAGTCATTTAAGTTAGACTCGGTTGAAAGCAGTTGGATGCGTATTATCTGCAGGTATCCTCTTGGTTGTGTTATTATCACTCATCACCATCTAATCCTTTCTTCTGATAAATTGATTTAAGTGTACTGATGTTGTTTGGGCAGGATAACTATTAGAGACAATTGTCCTAAATTTCAAAGATTGGAGACGAATATTTCGACAAGCAGAAATATCGTTCTTTGGAAATATTGATGTTTTGCTGATAAATGCTTATAATTTCAAGTAAAATTTTAAGCAAAAATTCTTGCTTCACATAAAATTGCTTTTCAGATCATCAAAATGAAAAAATTCGTAGAGTCCTGATCCTTGAGTAAATTGAAACAGTAGAATGGTGCGAACCAAAATCGCTGCTTTAAAAGAATGAATGTGTGACTCAATTATCAAAATTCATTGGAACTTCTATGCCAAAAACTTCTGTTTATGCATGTCTAGGTCAGTAGCCACTGCGTATGCAGTATCTCTTAGTTAGGACGCAGAGCTAAGTTTAAGATGCCAAAGTGCACTATTGCCACGCTTTCTTACTCGATTTTACCTTCTTAATTTGTACTTACCATGCTAATTGCCAGTTGCTGGCCAAACTCTCTTTATTTTATGCCAATCAGACTTAATTTGGAACACTTTTTAGCTTACAAAATACTTTTTGGGTCAAATTTTTTAAAATACTTTTTAGTTTACAAAATAAGTCACGGTGCATGTTTTGTGGTACCTTGGCACTCCATTCTCATCCCACATCATAAAGCGCTACGTTTCACTGACGGCAGTTTTATATTTCAGTTTGGATGTCTACTTTTTCAAATGTTCGCCGTCCTTGATTGCAAAGGTGTACTGGTTCAGTGATGAGCTCGATGGCGAGTTTCGGCCATCATCTTCTTCACTGCGCTTAATAGTTTCACGTGACCGACTGCGGAATCGTGGTTTTGTACCCAGTGTATTTGTTGAACTGCGACATTCCATTGATGAATAGTAAGAACGCATCGAGGGCGAACGATCTAAACAAAACAGTTGATGCTTGTCACCACTAGAGTCACACGCTGAGTTCTTTGTTTCATTGTTCTCTCTATCACTTTCAGCGCTCGCTCTTCCGCTTTCATCAGTGATCATGTTAACTGCATATACCTATTTAATTTGTCAATTATTCGCCAAAACTTATAAACAGAGCAAAAGCTCGATACCAGATGTTGATGTAGAAGAGCTAATTTTTCGGCTATCACTGTCCTCATACATGTGCCTCGATTTGCTGACATTTAAATAATTTCCTTCGGAACTTTTGTTCGGAAAACGACAATCCTGAAATTCTTGATGCTGTCAACTCAAAAATTGCAATTTTTGGTGAATAAAGTTAGATAAAAAATAAATATGGAATTGATTTTAAAAACCGTGGTTGGTGCTGCAATTATCTGCTGCCAGTGAAATAGTATCATGAAAACTTTACACAATAATTATTCGAGAGGAAGATGGCAAAAAAAAAAAATCTAGAGGCATAGTGTTCAAAAGAAAAAAGCTTGACATAGCCACAGTCAGAATATGGCTATGTCCTAGTAGTATCGGAGCTCAAGCATCTAAAGTCTGGGAATTCCCAATGAGTAGTTACTGTCACAAAAACTAAAAAATAGTTTCATGGATATATTTCCTTGTCTTCGAAAAGATTACATAATACAAGTAGGCGTTTCTTTGCGCAACAGATAAAAAATCGCGGCGTCGGTGACTGGTCGTTGCACGCATGTATAGGGAATTATCAAGAGGATCCGAAAATGCTGCCGAGTTGCATTTCTCAAGATCGTGATTCGGTTCGATTGTGAACACCAGTGGCAAGTTGAGAATTCCTTGATTTGCACAGTTCTAAAATTGTGAAAACAGCAATTTTAATTCTCTGAATTGTTCAGCAAAATGTTAAATTGTACTTGAAATTTATAAATCTTCAATACTCAATTTTCTCGTTCATAGGAGCCCAGTGTTTTTAAAATATTTGACTGTAATTTGATGAAACTTATAACTCTGATAACACATTTACTATAATTTAGTACCATAGTTATTGATAGCAAGCAACTGGACCAACAAGCAAAATAAATAAACCAAACAGTAAAAGCACGGGATAATCTGTATGAGGTCTCCACTGCTAAAGATACTACTGGAAAATTTTACGCGCCAGGCACAGCTATACCCGGCTATTCAGTCTTGAACTACATATTACAAATTATTTCCAGACAAATGTCCGCCGAAATAGGCCAATAAAGAGAAATCAATTACCAAACGTATAAGTTATATGCGAGAAAATAAACGGGTATACCAAAAGTATTAAGACCGCCAAAGCATCAATGCGGCTCTACATGTTATTTGGGCTACCGAATGTGGATACATATACAGTATAATAATCAATATGTTTTAAATATATTTTATTTTACTTAATTCCCGGCTTACTATTACATTTTATAAATCTGATTATCTATCTGTTCGCCATCATTTGTAGGTTTTCTACTTCATTATCTTATAATTATAGCTTATTTGGTTGCCACAAATTATACATGGTTGCTAGCATCAGTTAATAGAGAAGTGCGGCTATCGTTAATACATTAGTACAATTTTGTAATTATTAAAATTCAGGAAACCTCAGCGATGTATCGAACGAGTTTAATGGCACGGTGCAGATCGTCACCATTTTCACGTTTCCTCTCGTTTCCTATTGATTTCAACATATCGTTGGCCAAAGTAAATTCCTTGCCATCATGGCGATGGATTTG